TCTTGGTGTTTTTGAGACAAGGTCTCACTATGCAGCCCTGGCTGTTCCTGGAACTCCCTCTGTAGACCAGGCTGACCTGGAACTCCATTCCATCAGCTTTACCTGGCCATTGAGAAGATGTTAAGTCAGATGCTGATGTGGGTAGCAAATGGCCACTAAGGGAACTACAGATAATTCCGTAATTCTTGATCGGCCACATTCCAACTCTTCACAATCACAAAGTCTTAGTCAATCACTTAGCAAAATCTTAAATACAGCTGTGCCTTTGTCAGAGATATCTCTTTCTCTCTTCCCTCCTCTCTCCTTCTTTTCCTCTTTCCCTTTCTCCTTGTCCAAGTCTCACTATATTACCCAAGAAGGCCTTGAACTCCTAGACTCAAATAATCCTCCTGCCTCAGTCCGCCAAGTAGCTGGGACTCCTGGCACATCAGGCTGAAAGAGTGGATTCACAGTGTCACAGGATTTTTAGCAAAGCTTTGGGGACAACTCCTGACATCACAGTTTGCTCCTGGAGGTAGGCCTGCTGTGTCTGCTGGAGTGGACTCAGCCAAGCTGTGTGATGTGGACTGGCATTCCCACAGCCCTCTGTGAATTTGGTCCTCATAGAAGCCGAGGGGCTCCATCTGCACTGTAAACAGGTTTTACCATTGAAGACTCTGCCTTCCTTCCCACGATGCTCCTAGGGGTGCTGGTGAGCCAGGTCATGCTTTAGTAATCAGGGTGTAAAGTCTTACGTCAGAGTACTTCCTGTCTCTATTTCAGGGACCTCCTGGCTTTTGGGGAGGGGGAGTCCCCTTTCAGTCATCCTTCCATGTGAAACCTATCTCCATACATCCCAGGTGCCACTCTCTGCTGCACCTGGGGACCACAGCTCACCACTTGGGGCTGTGTGACAAGACACACTTCCCTGTTTCATAGACAGGAGCATCTGAGGCCCTGGTGGGGCCAACAGTTCATCTGAGCAGCTGGGGGAAAGTAGGAGTCCACACAGGGCCCAAGGCCTTCTATGTTCTCCAGAAACCAATGGCAGACAGGAAGCCATGTGGAGTTTATGGAGCCCTAGAGATGGGACAACATGGTGCTGGCTGTTGTGTATCCTCCTCGAGTTGGTGATCAGAAGGTCTGTAGATGATGTGATAGCATATACTCCACACATGCTCTGAAGTGCCCTCTGTTATCTCCCTGGCTCCAAAAGTCATGCTTTGTTCTCTGCATCCTGGGTTCTCAGAAGATAGAGGGTCTAAATTCCTTGTACAGATGTCCTCTACCTTTGGGCTTCTGCTTGTCCTGAGGATGCTTATCACCAGTTCTAAAGTGCACAGGACTGTGCGTCCTGTGCCCACGATTAAGAAACGCTGCTTTCCAATGATTTACCAAGTACAGAATCTCTGTTTTGTGTGATGGAAAACTCCCACAAATGGACAGTAGTATCAGGACATAATATCATGAATGTAATAAATCAATACAATTAATGTAATCGATGAATATCATAAATATAATTTTTGAATGAAAAAAAAAAGTAACGCCGCTCTCTTCCGTTTTTAACACAAACATGTTCATCTCAGCTGATCTCTGGCCAACATGGTTTTCTACAGATGATCTTTTTGAGTTCCAAGAGACTTTTGCATTTCTGATTGACGTCTGTAGAGACGTGAGCACGCTATTTACCCCTTATTGCAGGAAGCAGGAAGTCCCCATTTCTTCCCCAGCTCACAGGGCTGCCACAGGCTGCCCTCTCCCCTCCTTTCTGAACTTGACTGTCATGAAGTCGTAATGGCACGGGCCCCTAGCCCAACACTGCTGTTTGCCCGGTCAGCTTGCCAAGCTCACCCCTGTGTTGGCCCTTTGCACCTGCTGCAGGTTCTGCCTGGACAACTCTCCACCCAGAGCTGGGTTGAGCTGGCTCTTACAGCCACTCTGGTCCTAGGGTAACTGTCCACTCCCCGGGAGGCCCTGCTTGAGCCCTGTCCTGAGGGCAGCTCCTCCCCAGGTCGTATATGGAGATACCTGCCATACTGCTCCCACAGCTTGGGCAGTACACATGCTCGTGTGTGTCCTCACGTCACCCCTATAGGAATGGCAACTCCCCCACATCCTCTGTCCAGAACACACAAACGGTACCTGCCCCACAGCACTGAGTACGAGGCTCACCCACAGGGAGGAGATGAGTGGGACTGAGATTTCTGCCGCACAGAGGTGCTTGTGCCTGCAAGGCTGGGCAGATGCCGCGCTGTATGCCATCAGCTGGCACTGTCCAAGGGGACAGCAGTCCCAGAGGTTCCTGTAATGGCTATTGCTGGCCTTACGCTTCCCTGCTGCCTGCCCTCCGTGGGCCTCTGGCAGCTGTGGTTTCCCCCGGCCTTCAGGGCTACTCAGTCCACCTCAACTCCTTAGGAGAAGCCACTGCCTGCTCTGAATGCTTCAGCCCCCCTCGCTACATCTGTGTGGCACAAACACCTGTCTTCTCCTCAGGACCCTAGCTAGGTCGGGGGCAGAACATCTGTGTTTTTGTCCAGTTGCCCCTGGGAAAAAGCAAGGGTGTCCCAAACGTTGGTGACAGAAGGAACGTGGAACACTTGGCTGGGTGGTCATGAATGAGAAAGGCTTGAGAGGGGATGTAAGGGGGCCCCCTTGCCTCCCCAGACAGCTTCAGGCAGAGATCCCAAGGTTACGGCCTCCACTTTTTTTTTTTTTTCTAGATGGCATTGAAAGCAAATTACATCATCCCTCTGGGCCTCAGTTTACATGTCTGTGGAATGGAGACAGTAGCAGCAACATCACAATCGAGCAGAGGCCTCCGTGGGAAACAAGGGTGCTAAGGCTTCAAGGTGACTGGCTTGATCCAATAAATATTAGCTATATAATAATAATATAATAAATATAATAAATAAATTATAGAGGGCTGAGCTTTGGTGGGGGCTCTCCTTCCCATGTGAGGAGCCAGAAGGCTAAATTTTTTTTTTTCTGGAAAGTACTTGGACTATGTCAAGTACTATATTTAATATTTATTTTTTCTTTTATTTATTAATTTTTATTAAGAAATTTTCTATTCACCCTTCATACCACCCACAGATCCCACCTCCTCCCTCCTCCCACCCCCAGCCCTCCCTCCCAAGCCACACCCCATCCCCACGTTCTCCAAATCAAGGTCTCCCGTGGGGAGTCAGCAGAGCTTGTTTAGCATGAACTGTTTGGGGGACACCCGGGCGGGCGGGGGGATCAGGATCCATCCCTGGTGCATGGGCAGGCTCCTGCGGTGTGGCACCTTGCGCAGCCTTGGTGTGGCGGGGAGGGGCTTGGACCTGCCTTGGCTCAGAGGCTAAGTTTTAAGTTTGTGGACTAATTACAGAGAGTAAGACTCTATAGGAATTCAGGAAATGTTTCTCCTTTGCCCACATCCCTTCATTTATTTACCTAACCAGTATTTTCTGGGCATCTCGGATACACCTGGCCATGGGAGTCTGCAGAGTAAGCCAAAGTCCCAGCCTCAAAAAATAGGAAGAAAATAAACCAATATACAAGGTGTTTTTTTGTTTTTGTTTTTTGTTGTTGAGACATGACCTCATAAATCCCAGGCTAGCTTCAAACTCATTGTGTAGCTAAGGATGACCCTGAACTTCTGATCGTCCATGTCCCAACCGCTGTGATTGCAGGAGTGTGCCACCACACTGTTTCTGCAGTGCTGAGGACTAAACCAGGGCTTCATGCATGTTAGGCAAGCACTCTCTACCCACGGAGCCACAACCCCAGCCCCAGACACATTCTTTTAAACAGGGACTGCTCTGTAAATAAAATGCCAGAATGACTAGTGTGGGACAGAGGGCTTCTGAAACAGATTTAAGTGGAACTGTAAAGGAGAAGAATACATCTGGGAGAAGAGCCCAAACAGAGAGAAGCCACCTGCAGTGGAGGCGGGATGCAGGGAATGGAGTCTGGGTGACTGGTCTGCCGATGTGGAGCCTCGGGGACTGGGCATCTTAAGTTCAACTTGATTTCTAAGTTTGATGGGAGGGCAGTATGGAGTTGGCAGGAGGTCTTGGGGATCCCCCTGACAGTAGGGTGGTAGGGTGATGTCAGGCAGCCAGGGACAGGTGAGAAGACAGTGTAAGAGAGACAGCCAGGTGGGGGCTGTTGCCACTCAGAACACAGGTCTCCCCAACTTCTCACAGTTCCAACCTATGATTTCCTGACTTTAGGGAGGTGCAAAGGTGACGTACTGATCTTTCCCCAGGCTGGTGACTTGTGGTAAGTAAGATCATCTGAGGTGATATGGGGTGGTGGTAGCAAACCACAGCTACTGGGCAGAGTAAGGAAGAGCCCCGAGCTGCATTGCAAGGCTGTGGTTAGTGGGTGGGGGTTGGTGGGCACACTCAGTGTGTTTCCCACTTATAAAAGTCTCAGCTTAGAGGGAGTTGACTGGCACTCGGTCCGATCATACATTGGAAACATTTATCGCCTGTTGAGGGACAGTGAGTGCACAGGCCCTGCTGGCATGTGAGCAGATGGAGCAACGTGACCACCCAGAATGACCTGAGTCACGGCTGGCATGGAAAGGAAGTAAGTTGACACATTTCTCAGCAAGACTGTGGGAAGAGTCTTCTGGAGATGGCAGTCTGAGCTTAGAGTTGGATGGGGAGAAGCATAGGCTTCATACAGAGAAATGTCCGTGTGGACCAGGTACCCAAGTTAACTGGCTAACACAATTGTAGAGGCTGGGGTAGGATCCACCAGGATTTGTGGGCACAGAGACACTGAGGGGTGGCGGGTGGGGTTCCTGTTTTGTTTTTGAGGCAAGTTCTCACCACTCAGGCTGGTTTTGAGCTCATGATCCTGCTGTTTTGGCCTCGCTGAGATTAGAGGTGTGCACTACCACACCCGGCTAGGAAGATGCTTTTCAAATCATGAGACAGCATGCAATTACCTGGCCCGGAGTAGGGAGGGGTACAGGGGGGGTGCGGGGGGGGGGAGGGGCACAGGAGGGGTGCTGGGAAACCTGCAGAGAGAGAGTCTGATGGAGAAGGAGCCCAGGAATGGCATGTGTGGAAGGCAGAATGAGGTGTCATCGAAGTCAAGTGAAGACAACATGATAAAGAGGGTGTGACCAGCTGGGACAAATCCTGCTGCAGGGTTGAGAAAGGTAAGGACGGGCTTTGGACTGGGACCCTGGAAGCTGATGGGAATTTGAATAGCAGAGTCAGAGGAGATGGGAAAAAGCACATGTGTGGGTATGCATGCAGGCACACTGAGGCTTGCCGTTAGGAGCGGGCACAGAGGAGGAAGGCGGGCCTGGAGAAGCAGTAAATGGGAGCTGAGGGAAAAGGTCTTGTTTGTTCCACATGAGACACATAATAGCTTATTTATATGCTGATGGGCTCGGTCAAGCAGAGAAGGCAAAATTGATCATATAGAAATAGAATTCCTGAGTGGGGTGGGGACCCAAGGCCCAGAGGTGGGCCTGGCCTCTCAGGATCGTCGATTGAGTCAGGAGAGGGTACGCAGAGCCTGTGTGCCAGAGGCAGGTGGCAGGGCCAGCCAGGCACAGTGGGGGCAAACTCTGGAGTTCCTAACACATTGCATTTCCACCAAGAGACACAGCTTCCCACACCCACTCGGGCTTTCTCCGCCATGTGACCCTCTTTCCGAGCCGTGTGTGCTTCTCCCAGGATGGTGGTGGTGTCACACATGCCCCAGCCTGTCTGGAATCTAGCTGATAGATTCCCGGCAGAGAGACGCCACGGGTTTGGGTCTGAGAAGGTCATCTTAAAAATCAGTCAGGCTTTATGACTAGGCAGGTGTTAGGGGCCATATCCTGGGCCTCCTTCCTCAGAGATAACATAACCTAAAGGCCTTCCTTGATTTCCCTATCTGTAGCAGTAAGTAGTGGTTCATTGGGCAGTCCTGGGGGCGTGGGATGGTCCAGGGCCAAGATTCAATATCAGCCTTAGAGACAGGGCCACACCTCCAGCTCTGCCTTTTCCAATCCGCGCCGTTTGCAAAGGCAGCGAGACTGCAAAGTTAAGGTATGAGATCCTCTTGGGGGCTTCCTTCCCAAAGCTCGGGGATCATTTCATTATAAATGATGGATTTCTTGTTTACAGGTCAGTTACTTATTCTATTTCTACCTGGGAAGGCATAACTGCCTGAGGCCAGCTCTCTCCTAGTCTCCTTCTCAAAAGCTCTTGCCTCTTCCTGTCCCTGGCTGGCACTGAGCTCAGGCTGAGTGAACACACAGTAGTTAGAGAAACTCATCCGTCCGATCCTGCCTTTCCTTTAGGCAACTGCCTTTCGGTCCTCAAGCCAGCGGGCTCCAATGTCCCCGAGCAATTTGCACAGGGACTTTGGGTGCTGAGTGCCCTGCAGAAACCACCTTTGGCTCCCAGGAAGACCAGGAGGCGGTGGCCTCACTTTTTGGGGAGAGGAAGTGAAAAGGGAATCCTAAGGATGCCCCCACTTTGGCCCCAATGATCTCTCCCTTGCCACCCCTAGTGTTACCTATGCCAAGTGAGACCCAGCAGTCCTTACCTTCGTTTGGACAATGATTGGCAGAGGCAACAGGAAAATGGGCAGACATAGTGCAATCAAGTAGAAACGATAGGCCCATAGGCCCTGCCAGCAGGTGGCCATGGTGCCGACCAGCCAGTCGGGGCTGAGGCTGCCACAGCGGCTGCCTCCAGGAGTCGCGAAACTGAAGGCCCGGAGAGGCTGTGAACAGTAGGTGGCCCGGGGCAGCTTATATAAAGCCAGCTGAGTGTTAACCATTGACCCACCCTGGCAATCAGAGTGTTTTTGGAATCAGGAGGTGGGAGTAAGGAGGAGGGACACGGCAGGAGGCGTAACAACCAGGAAGACTTAGCGGGGCCTGGGAGGGAAAGACAAGAATGAAAAGCTTCAGGTTACGGGCGGGCGGAGAGCTGCCCAGACTTTACTCCTGCTGGGCACAGAGGCTGCTGGGGGCACTGGGCTTGAAGAGCCACCTCCCCCCCCCCAGCCAGGGCTGTACAGGACAGGAGCCCAGCGCTCCCTCCAGCCCAGCCCACCTCTAGCCTTTGGATACCCAAAGCCAAGTTCTCCAGCTGAGCAGTTGACACCTGACCCTTGGAGCTGGGCGTTGTCTCTACCCTGCCTACCCAGGCATCCCGTCCTCAGGGGTTCCAAAGCCTCAGATGGGTCCTGGGAGGCCTAGGGGCATCTGGCTAGCTAGCAAGCAAGCATGCCCCCTCCTTGTAGTTATCAAGGAGTCTGTCACAAGTTCTTCGTACCCTTTGCACGAGACTGGCCCACTGACTTACTCTAGCCAACCGCTTCCTCATTCTGCAGTAATCTTTCCTCGTGTATGCTGAGCATTGATGTGTGATAGGTAGACAATAAAGATTAGTTTCTTTCAGAATCTTCCTGGTCCCCACCCCCTAACTGCCACGGGAAAAGAGCAAATATTGCTTCATATTCTATTTACATATTCAGCCTTTTCACACATCAGCCGGATATCTACCCCACGAAGCCTTTGGCACCAGCCATGGGCACTGTTTGGTGCTGAGGATTCAGAGATCAACATGCTGCACATGAGGGCCTGATGTCCCCAGCATTTAGTTCCCACCACTAGGTGGTTGGTGTTCCATTTTATAAGTGGGAATACTGAGGCCTGAAGACACAGAGCCAGGCCGACTTCAAATATGTTCTGTAAGTGCCCCAAGGTGGCGGGGGGGAGGGTGCCAACCCAGTGTGGGAGCTTGGGAAAAGAGTGAGCACTGGAGACATCCCAACAAGGATGCCTGGGGGGAGGGGAGCCTGCGTGAGTCCAGGCTCTGGAGTGAAGTCACAGGGCAGGAGGAGGTAGGGCATAGGACACAGCAGGGAAGGGCAAAGTGGGACGTAGATGGTGGTGAGCAGGCAATGGGTGTGCTGGGGGGCAGTGCTGGGGTGCATACTGCAGTGTGCAGTATCTAGTTGGAAACATTGTCTCTCAGGTGCCCTTATCGCTTCTGGCCCCACGCTGCACACAGTAGGTGTTTGATAGTTTTTTTTCTGATAACATCACAGTATGGTGACCTGTGGGTGCCAGGTTAAGAAGGTAGGGTGCCAGAGAGACTGTTTTAGGTGGGGACACAGTCTGACAAAGACATGTGTGTCGAGCTGAGGACAGTAAAGCCACACGGTGCACCTCAGAGGATGGGATTGACAGCTGTCAGTCATCAGTCACGTTTTCAGGCTGTTAGGCCACCAACGCACTCCTGGACCCAGTGTGTGTGGAGGGGTCTGTGTAAGGGACACCCCCAATGCCTTGCAAGATGATTGCAGAGGTGTGAATGGGTCCGGGTTGCAGAGCCAGGACGGATGAGAAGTTACAACAACACAAACAACAGCAGCCAGCTCCCAGCCCTGGCTGCTCCCGCAGAGCCACCAAAGTGAGCAAGAGCAGGAAGACCGCAGACAAAGAGTTTCAGATGCGCAGGACAATACCCTGATTCTAGTTCTCCCAGAAGGAAGCCTCTCCCATGGCCCAGGGCTCTGGAGGAGCCACCACAGCCACCAGGCTGGGCTCTCTTCCACCAAGAACAACATTTACTACTTGTAAAATCTGTATCCTAATTCTCCTCCATACCAGCCTAAAGCGTAGGCTCAGAGCAGTGAGGTCATCTGTCTGGTGTCACCCAGCATGGGAATAAGGGAAGTCAGGTTCATTTTCCGGTATTGCCTATGCCCTTCGTTCAGTCATCTACGTTGTTCTGGACTACTTTGATGGAGCTGGGACAGAACTCAGTATTTCCCATAGTGGGCTACTGTTTAAACTGTTTCTCCCAATAATCCTCTTCCGTGCCATGGATTTTGGGGGCCTTGGTTGATCCTCTTCCTTTTTCTCCTCCTATCCCCCCTCCTCTTCTTTTGGTGTGTGTGTGGTTATGCATGCATGTGTGTGCATGTGTGCATAGACATGTGGATGTGTGTGAGTGCTCACACATATGTGACCAGAGATCAACCTAAGATGTCATTCCTTAGCAGCTGTCTGATCTTGTTTTTAAAGACAGGGTCTCTCGCTGGTCTGGAGCTGATGACGAGGCTAGTCTGACTGGCCAGTGAGCCCCCGAGATCCTCCTCTGTACTCCAGCACTGGGGTTACAGGTGTGTACTGTAAGTATTTTTTAGAGGGATGCTGGGGTGAACTCAAGTGCTCATGGCTGTGTGGCAGCCCCTTACCGACCGAGCCATCTCCCCAGCCCTGCTGCGGCCGTTCTTTTAAAAACAAATTTATTTCAGATTTATTTATTTCGGGCATATGAGCATTATGCGGCATATATGTCTGTTTACATTCAGGCCTGGTCTTCAGAAGAGAGCATCAGGTTCCCTGGAACTGGAGTTCTGGATGGTTATAAACTGAACCCTAGAACTCTGCAAGAGCAGCCAGTGCTCTTAAGTACTGAGCCATCTCTCCAGCCCCCTCCTCTGATGCTCTTTTTGAGGTTCAGTCCTGGAAAATGATTGAACTAGAAGCATCCAGGCCCCTCAACCCCATGATTAATTTATCTCAAAGTCAGCATCCCAAGGGTAGTGGGAAGCCTCCAGCTGTCGCACATATCACAACTCACTCCTTGCTTAGCAACCAAGCCAGGGCCCCACCCGCGAGGCCTTTTTCATTGTCGAAGGCCCGCCACCATGCCCTCCTGCAGTAAATGTTCTGTATGACTTCTGATGGGTCATGGGCAATAGAAGTAGGAGACCAGCCTTCTTCAGTCTTTGCTGGGGGCCTTGCCTGGGCCAGCCTTGTGTCCTATCTTAGGGGAAAGTCAGAGTCAGGAAACACCTGCCTCGTGCTTTACCCAGTGGCCTTCCTGGAGAAGGCCATCAGAGACAGCTGAAAGTCTAGGGGGGTAGGAGATGTGCACAGATTGTAAGAGATGGCCTGTCCTCAAGAGTAAATGGCTGATAAGCTGGAGGTAGATCTGGACTGGGGGGCTGGGGTGGGGCAAAGGTGGTTCTTGGCAAGTTCATACCTGGACAGGTATGGGGAGGCCATTCGAAGGTCCCAATGCAGCCCCGAGAATGGTAGGGAAGCTAGACACACCAACACTTGAAATGATTCGTAGGACATGGAACTGTGCAGCCCAGAGCAGAGAAGGCCAGATGAAGCCACCACATCTTGAGAGAAGAGGCTAAGGATGTTCTCAAGGGCCAAGACTGGACCACAGATCAGGGAAGCTGGGAGGGTGCTTGGGGCTGTTGTCAAGAAAACCTCCTCTATCACTTCCTCACTGATAGAAGCATCTTCCCACAGACCAGATTGCTCAGAGAGGGTAGGGAGAAGGGAGCGAGGCGTGGGTGTCCAGCTACAGCTCTGAGGATCCTTGACCATCCTCTCATCTTCTGTCGCCTCTCCCACTGGGTCCACACAGCTTAGTTTATAAATATTCATATCCATCTCTAACCCTACACCTGACATAGTGCTCCGAAGGTGATTAAATGGTCCTGTGGGGCCCATTGCTGGCTTTGCTCCTAGGCTTGGTCCTCATCATCCCTGCCTCTCACTCAATAAACCAGGTTCTGTTTTCAGATCCCTAGCCGGGCTCTGTATTCCCTAGTCTCCAGGAAGTCCCTGTGCTCTGTGTCGCCTAGGCCACTGTCTGTGTCTCCTCCTCCCAACTTTACTGGTTCAGTCTTGTTGATCTTTCAAGTCTCAGATGATGACTGAACTTGCTTTGTGAATCCTCAGCTCAGACAGGGTGAGGCAGGCCCCCTGCTCAGTGCCCTGGATCAACTCCACAAGGTATGTATCCCTCACATCACACTGCATCTTCTCTTATGTGCTGTGAGGGGCTTCTACCAGACCATGCTTCATCAAAAGCTGGTACCCAACAGATGGATGTTGACTGAATGCGTGGGTAGATGATAGCTGGATAAAATAGTATTCCCATGAAATAATCCCTAAGGTTCAAGCTGGATAACTAAGCCCTCTTTCTAGCACATACTGGAGCTTGGGTAGGGTATGTTGGGGTCATTGGTCACACAACAGAGAAAAGAAGTGAATGGCTTTTTACCTCTGTCAAAATCCCCATGGGGAGTGAGGAAGTAATTTCTGGAAGCAAGACCACAGTGAACTTGGGTTCATTTCTCAAAGGGACCCAAGGCTCATCTACATACAATCAGCCCCAGGACCACCTCCCTGAATTGCCAGGAAGCAAGCCCCAAGTTGTCTTTCCATGGGTTTGTGCAGAGGCCAGAGGTAGATGTCAGGTGTCTTCCTCAATTACTCTCCTCAGTAGTTTTGGAGACAGGGTCTCTCACTGAACCTGGAGACAGGGTCCCTCACTGAACCCGGAGACAGGGTCCCTCACTGGACCCGGAGACAGGGTCCCTCACTGGACCCGGAGAAAGGGTCCCTCACTGGACCCGGAGACTGGGTCCCTCACTGGACCCGGAGACAGGGTCCCTCACTGGACCCGGAGACAGGGTCCCTCACTGATTTGGGTAAACTAGGTGGTCCGCAAGCCCCAGGGCCCTCCTGTTTCTGCACCCCAGCACTTGGAGTACAAGTCGTGCGTCACCACATTTAGCTCTTCATGTGGGTGCTGGGGCTCTGAACCCCGTCCTCACGCTCGCACGGTAAGCATTTGACTGACTGAGCCTTCTTCAGCTCCTCCTCCTCATTGAAACCTTGATGCCCAGCTCTTTTTCTTTGGGGGCTGGGGTTTCTGGGGAATCCAACCCAGGGCCTTCATACACTCGGTAACACTCTACCTTCTGTTTTCATTTTTCTGTTTTGTTTTAATTTTAAGAGTGAGGTTCTCAGTAAGTCACTCAGGTTTGTCTGGTGCTCACTCTGTAGCCTAGGTAGGTCTGAACTTCTGATCCTCCTGAAGATCTGGGAGTTCCATACTACAAGGTCTGCTATGCCAGGCTGTTTTTGAAACTGTGATAAGATAAGTATAAAATAAACTCTTATCTTGGCCGGGTGGTGGTGGCACATGCCTTTAATCCCAGCACTTGGGAGGCAGAGGCAGGTGGATCTGAGTTTGAGCCCAGCCTGGTCTACAGAGTGAGTTCCAAGACAGGCAGGGCTGTTACACAGAGAAACTCTGTCTCAAAATAACAAAACAAAACAAAACAAAAAAACCCACTATCTTTTTTTCCATTAGTCCATACACTTTATTATTCTGAGTCAGTTCTCTCTCTACACAGCTTCTATTCTGCTCTCATGCCTGGCTCCTTTCTTGCCTGATTTCTCTCTACATTATCTGCTGTCCCCTCTAAGTTCCATCTTAATTCTCTCTTCTTAGCTCTGCCCCATCTAGGTTCCCATCCATCTAGTTCCTTCCCATCTTAGCTCCTCTCCCATCTCCTTCTTTCTCGTCTCGTTCTTCCTCATCTTGTTCTTCCCCACCTGGCTCTTCCTCATCCTCCATCTTGTTCCTCTAGTATTCTCTTTTAGCCCTTCAACCTAGTTCTTCCCATCTAGTCTGTTCCTCTCCAAAAATCTATTATCTTAAGCACTTTTCTGTGTACGGGGCAGAGGTGTTAGGTACACTCACGTTGTTGCACAACCGACTTCAGAACCTTTCCGTTTTGCAAACATGATACTCTACACTTATTAACCAGCCTCACTTCTTCCTCCCCCACTTCCTGGCAACTGCCAGTCTACTTTTGGTTTCTGTGAGTCTGACAGTTCTTGACACTCCCTAGGAATGCAATCATACAGTGGTTATCTTTAGCTGACCAGCTTATTGCCCTCAGCATGATGTCTCCAGGTTCATCCATGATGTAACAGGTCTCAGAACATCTTTTTCTCTGAAGGTCAAATAATGCCCCGTTGTAGATCTGCACCATAGCTACTCATCCATCTATCTGCCAATGAGTGTTTCTTTTCACCTCTGAGCTATTATAAGCATCCTGGCTATCATAATGAGTATTCAGACATCTGTAAGAGTCTGCATTCAATATTTCAGGCTGTGTTGATAGGATTTAAAGGCAAAATGTCCTCTACAGACATCATGTATTTGAACACTTGTTCTCCTGCTGGTGACACAGTTTTGAGAGATTGTAGGACCTTTTAGACATGGGGTTCAGCTGGCAGACAGATGTAAGGGTGTAGGGGTGAAGCCAAAGGGTTTATCATGCTAGAGATTGACCCCAAGGCCTTGTACATGCTAGACAAGCATTGCAAACAGCTACACCCCCGCCTTTTTATTTTTATTTTTTTGAGACAGAGTCTCACTAAGTTGCCCAGACTGGATTTGAATTCACTCTGTACCTCAGGCAGGTCCCCTTTCTGTTTGTACTGTCTGTTCCTGATTGATCACCAAGATAAGACTAAGGTGTCTTGTGTTCCTGTTGATATGGAGTCACCTGCGTCCACACCTTCACCGTCATGGTGGACTGTATCCCCTCAAACTGTGAGCCAGATAAATCCTTCATCTCTTTATCTGTCTCTTGCCAGGTGATTGGTAACAATACTGAGAAAAATAACTGATACAGAAAATCAGTACCAAGAAGTGGAGTTATTGCTGTGAGAAACCAGACCCTGTGACGTCTCAACCTTGAGAGGAATGTGGGAGAACCTGGAGATGTCTGGGATTCTGTAAGGAGAACTTAAATGAGCAGTTCTGGTAGGAATTTAGAGGACCAGAACACTGATAGTATGCAGACAGTGAAGAATCAGCTCTCAAGAACTCTGTCTAGATTCTGACAAGGACCCAGATTAGCGTCCACTCATGTTAAATTCTGGCAAAGAATCTATCTACATTCTGCTCGTATCCTAAAAATCTGTGTGAGGTAATGGACTCTTTTCTTTAGCAGAAGAAATTTCATGACAGTATAGCATTCAGGCTGTGGGATGGTTATCACTCACTGTGTTGAGAGAGAGAGAGAGAGAGAGAGAGAGAGAGAGAGAGAGAGAGAGAGAGAGAGAGAGAAAGGAGAGAAAGAGATAAAAAAAAAAAAATGAAACAGCCGGGCAGTGGTAGCGCATGCCTTTAATCTCAGCACTCAGGAGGCAGAGGCAGACGGATCTCTGTGAGTTCGAGGCCAGCCTGGGCTACAGAGTGAGTTCCAGGAAAAGGCACAAAGCTACACAGAGAAACCCTGTCTCGAAAAACAAAAACAAAAACAAAAAAAAGGAAAGAAAGAAACAAGAAAAGAAACAGAAAGAGGCCAAATATAGTAGAGCATGCCTTTAATCCCAGCACTTGGGAGGCAGAGACAGGTGGATTTCTGTAAGTTTGATGCCAGCCTGGTCTACAGAGTGAGCTCCAAGCCAGTAAAGGGCTACATAGTAAGACCCTGTCTCCAAAAAGAAACAGAAAGGTGTGAAAAGGGTGCAATTTGGTAAGGAAAGGAGCAGGAACCTGATTAACTAGATTAATGTCGTAGACAGGTGTTGGGATCCAGCAAGCCTTACAAGAAAATCGGAATGCACAAAGTGAAAAATAATGAAACTTGAATCTGCACAAAAAAAACTTCCAGGGTTGGACTTCAGTGTTTATTTCTCTTACACACTTCAACACCATGAAACTTGAGAAAAGGTTCCATGTGACAATTATCAGAACAAAGCTTTAGACATTGCTACATAGAAACTCCCTAGCAAAGTAGCAAAGCACCTTTACAATAAGAAAGAGTTCTGTTGGTAATAAACAGTGCTCAGGCCGAGGGCCTAGGGAGGAAGGTTTGTAATAAGAGTCTATTGATGGAGGATACAAAGTACATGGGACCACTTTCATTAAGGATGGGTTCTGTTCACTGAAAGACTAAGCTCAGGCTATTGGGGGATTCAGGAAGGCTGGCTCCATAGAATAACAAAAAGATCACCAGGTTGCCAGATAACATCCACTCCAGCCTTCAGGATGACCAGGCATCAGCCATTACCTTCCGTTGAAGAGAATAGGCCCGAGAGTTTAACAAGCCTGGTTCCTCCTAAGCTTTCTTTAAGCTGTGCCTTCTACAGACAGAGAATGTGTGCAGGGACTGAAATGTTAAAGAGATTAGTGCCCTTAAAGAGAAACCTTCCAGTCGGTCCTGAGATAACGGGAATGTGTCTTAAGGGCAAGACTCCAGTTGAAAGCTCCTGGATATAACTCATCTGAAAACCTTTCATTTAAAGGTATATCATTTGTCTTTTGATTTTGCAGGGACCTGGAGTTAAGAGATTGTCTTGAGTCTTCGAGGAGACTTTCAACTTTAGACTTTGGAATGGTGTTAGAACTATGAGACTGTGGGGACTTTTGAAATTGGGCTGGATGCACTTTGCATAATGGGATGGCCACGAGCCTCTTGGGGCCAGGAGCAGGATGCTAGAGTTGGAATATGAGATCCCCCTGCAGGCTCATGCACTTGAATGTTTCGTCTCTAGCCGAGAGGACTGTTTGGGGAGATTGTGTAGCTGTGTGTGTATGACTAGAGGGTTAGAACTGTCGGACAGTCCTGGGCTGTCTGTTCCCCTGAGGGGTGGCAGCCTCACACTGCTGCCAGCCACCCCAGCTCCATGCCTTTCTCGCCTAACGGACTGAACCTTCTTCCCTTAAGAATGTCACTGGTCAGACATTTGGTCACAGCAAGGAGAAACTAACACATATGCACAGCGTTACTGCTGGATATTGCAGGAATTGTATTTAATGTTTTGTTGTTTTGTTTTGAGAGCCTTCCTATGTAGCCCTGGCTGTCCTAGAACTCACTGTGTAGTTCAGGCTGACTTCAAACTCACAGCAATCCTCCTGCCTCAGTCTCCTAAAGGCTGAAATTACAGTGTGTATCACCACACCCAGCTCCCATTTTTTCATTTGTTTATTTTTGTTTTGAGAGAAGGTCTCCTTATGTAGCCTTGGTTGGCCTTGAATTCATTTATGTAAATCAGGCTGGGCTTGAACTCATAGATCTGCTTGCCTCTGCCCACTAAGTGCTGTGAATAAAGGCATGTGTCAGCACACCCAGACATTTATTTATCTGACACAGGATCTCACTGTGTATCCATGGCTGGCCTAGAGTTCATTCTGAAGACCAGGCTGGCCTCAAACTCACAGAGATCCTCCTGCCTCTGCCTCCCTATTGCTGAGATTAAAGGTGTGTGTTATTTGTTTACTTTTGGGAGACGTAGAGTGCTGTTTTTCACAGTGGCTGTGACACTTTACAATTCTTTAGCAGCATGCAGGGTTCCAAACCGCCACATTCTCACATATGCAGCATCCTTGTTATTTGATTTTAAAAACATTTTTATTTATGTGTATGTGAGGTACCCATGGAGGTCAGAAGAGGGTTTCGCATCCCCTGGAGCTTACAGGCAGTTCTGAACCACCTGACTTGGGTCCTCTGGAAAAGCAGCCAGTGCTTTTACCCTGTCCAGCCCCCCAATTTGACTTTTTTTTTTTTAAGGAGCCATCCTAATGTGTATGGGGAAATATTTCATTGTGGTTTTCTTTCAATTTCTCTAATGAATAGTGATGTTGAACAATCTTCCAAATATCCGCTGGAAACATTTGTGTATCTTCCTTGAAGAAATGTTATTAAATACATAGAGATTTCTGTTGTTAATGTTAAACTGTAGGGGCTCTTCATATAGTTTAGGTATTAATCTCTTCTCAGATATACAAACAAAGATTTACCCTTGGTAAGTTTTGAATCCCCGGTTGCTGGGTATCCACTGCCACCGCCGCCGCCGATATAATAAGTCAAATCAAACCAAATTAATAAATCCAGGTTTAATGAACAGAGCAAAGCAATCCAGGGTGACCCTTGGAAAGGCAGAGGAAGAGTCACATGGCAAATATGGCTACCAGGCCTTAAGCAGCCTGTAGGTGTGGTCTTGGGCAGCTCCAGGGAGGGGCTGGCTTTTGGTAGACTTTGAGGGGGCAGGTTTGGGGAGAGAGAGATGGGGACAGGAGTTGAGGTGGAGCTTCCACTAGAACATTCCAGTCTCTTTGGGTATATGGGTGCCAGGGGCTGAGAACAGAACAGCTCTCTTTCTTCCTTGTTTTTTTCTTTCCTAAGACAGGTTTCTCTGTGTAGCTTTGGAGCCTGTCCTGGAACTAGCTCTGTAGACCAGGCTGGCCTCAAACTCACAGAGATCTGCCTGCCTCTGCCTCCCCAGTGCTGGGATTAAGGGTGTGCGCTGCCGCCGCCCAGCTCTCTCTTCCTTTCTTTAACAGGCTCTTACTCCCAGTCCTCCTGCCCCGGCCTCGGAGAGCATCAACACACCCAGCATTCGCTCCCCTTCTGCAGGATGTCTCACTCTGTTCACTGTTTCCTTAGAGACACCTGCCCGGCTCTTTGGAGACCTGTTTTCCCATTGAAACTTGCCTTTGATACTTATTTTAACCTAATTCCCCCTAGCTTACCACAGTGAAAAGGCCAGGGAGCCGGAAGGACCTACAAGATTAATGTTGTCTTTCAGTCTTTGGGTCTGTGAGCCCGATTCCAGGGGATGCTCACTAGGCATGCGCACAGTTACTCTCTCATCTAGCGCTCATTCGCCGAGGGACTAGCAGAGCTTCAGGATCCAGCAGGCTCGTCCGTGTAAGCGCGTGTGACTCTGGTCTCGTCAGCCTTCCCGGGTTTCAATTCTGTCTCTGAGAAAGCTGACAGTGTCAGAGGCAAGGGCAGAGGACTGGGGGTGCAGCCCAAAAGAGAGCGCTCGTCTGCCACACCCAGGGTATCTCCAGCACTGCAAAAAAGAAGAAAAAAACAAAAATCAAAAAAGCCTGAGAGAGGCCCTCTGGGCCATCGGAAGAAACAGTCATGCCGTGGAAAGGGTCTGCCAGCCTGTTTGTTTCTCAGGCCGGCACTGGGTGGATGCAAGCTTCGCCGGGGCCTTCTGACTGTCACGGTCAAGACACATATGCTAGGCTGGCATGTTGGTGCCCATCTGTGATCCCAGGGCTCAGAGAGCTGAGGCAGAAGGGTTGTGAGTTTGAGGCTAGCTTGAGCTAAGCACTGAGACCCTACCTCGAAGGGAAATCCAAAACAAAAAGCCTTGATGTCTCCTGGAAATCCAATTATTTCTCTATGAGATCATCAGCTGTTGGCAAGGTAAGCAGAATCCTATCTGCTTTTGCCCTTTGTGGCGATGGTGAAGAAGCCTCCCTCCAGTTAGAAGTTCTGACCTTGGCCGGGCGGTGGTGGTGCACGCCTTTAATCCCAGCACTCGGGAGGCAGGGGCAGGTGGATCTCTGGGAGTTCGAGGCCAGCCTGGTCTACAGAGTGAGATCCAGAACAGGCACCAAAAACTACACAGAGAAACCCTGTCTCCAAAAAAAAAAAAAAAAAAAAAGTTCTGACCTTGAAGTTTTATGAAGAGTGGAGGGACTTTCCCCTAATGACAGCAGGCCTTGATCAGATTGCCCTGGGTGGAGGCAGAGATAAGACCAGCACTGCACTCGGTGAGGACAGGTCCTGGAGAGCTGCCGAGAGGAGTGGCCTTCCCCCCACTGCCATGTCCTGAGAGGAGCCTCTGGTCTTCAGTCTTTGCAGCCCAGGAGCAGACTCCAAGTACTCAGGCTGGGATGGGGAGTCCGGGGCTGAAGTCCTCACTTCTGACCTTGGCTCCGTGGCGTCTCAGAAGCCTCATTGGTAATATGAATATGAGAAAAATGCTAGGGCAGGTGTGCTGCCTGTGTGAGAAGATGCGAGAGGAGCATCCCGCATCCGAGGCTCCCAGGCAACGGCGGCCCCTTCTTCCTCCCTCCATCGCCTTTATTCCCAAGCTTCCGTTTACCTAGGTGTGCCCCCTCCAGCCTCCCTCAGGCTCCCATGCTCATTACCACTGGCTTGAACAGGGCCTGGGCTTCTAGAAAATACCACCCACCTGCTTTCCGCCATGAAAACCTCCCTTCCCCCCAGAGCGCACCCTTGGCTCCCAGCCTTGTCTGACGTTCTGGCTCATCTTGACCGAAGTGTTTAGGACATACAGGCTGCTCTGATCTCTGGCACACACTGTCCTCTGGGTGGTTACATCTGTCCCTGGCATGTCCCCAATGGGACTGTGAGAGCCTGGGGAAGAGAGCAGGGCTCTGATTCACCTCTCTGGTAGAGGTTCAGTGTGTGCCGTAGCTCAGTGCCCTTGGAAGCCGAGTCTGGAGAATGTGGGTGCCAACTGACAGACGCACTGTGCATGGCCAGCAGATAAACACACTGGACCTCCTCATCCACTGTCCTATACGCAACACCCCCCCCCCACATGCATAGTGACCTGCTTCCTTCAACAATAGTCAAAACAGGGCAAGAGACGCAAGTCGGTGCTAGAGGGCCTGCCTATGAGGCATGGAGCACCGTGCTCAATCCCCGGCACCATAAGAAATTAAAACAGTATGGTTAAAGAAAAAGGATGCCCAAACTGGGTATGGTGGCTGACATTGGTAATTCCAGCTCTTGAGAGACTGAGGCAAGGAGATTGTTGTGAGTTCAAGGACAGCCTAGTCTACACAGACATATAAAAATAAAGAAAAGAACGAGTAAAGGTCCAAGTGTAGCATCTTATTTATTTTGCAAAGCATATAGGTGTCTAGGGTAGAGGGCCTTCTTTCATCCGTGGGTCTGTCTCCAGCCTCAACACGCTTAACACCCTACACTCTCTGAATATGCTCTGAGAATTCTAGAATCCTGCTGGTGGGTGGCGCCAGAGAGCATTTCCTGCCAGGGCTGAGATGATGAAGTCTCAAGGCTGTGCGTTCTGGCCTTGCAGCCCTCTCTCTTCTCTATTTTACGACTCATGTAGACCGCGTCCCTGGTCGAGCTTCCTCCTCCCGGCTTCCTCGCCGCCCCGTGTTATATTGACCTCTCGCCGCCACACCACTACAGTTTTATTGTCATCACGGAACAGAGAGGCCAACATGAGTGGTCCCGGGCCTCCTGCTTAGCCAGTGGCCTAATGGAGACTTGATCACCATTCTCCGCCATGCATGCCTACAGCCTCTCCTGGGCGATGCCGAAGCCAGAAGGTAGCTGGGAGAGTCAGTTCCCACTCCTGGCCTGGAGTCCCATTGGAGATGGTAGGAGGCACCAACGCAGGCAAAAAGCCAGAACAGTGGCCTTCTGGCAGAATATGGCCTTGCTTTACACAGCATGTAAATAAGACCTCATTCTCCTAGGAATGCAGTAGGACAGCTCCCTGCCCAGAGCAGTTGGGACCCAGCCGGGACACACCAGGGAGGCTTCGGCGCCCAGCGGGTTCCACACCCCAGCCTGGCACCGGATCACGCCCTCTGCTGGACTCCTCAGGCAACGCAATCCATCTACCGGCTTTAAGAGCATGTTTACCTTCTCAGCACCTTGGCTGCGGGATAACGATAGTGACGTATATTAAGATTTTCCCCCACCTGAAACATCATTTTATGAATACCAAGGCGCTATTGAAATGCCTTTAAAGGGGATGGAGAGATGGCTCAGTGATTAACAGCACTTTTTGCTCTGCCAGAGGACCCAAGTTTGGTTCCCAGCACCCACATCTGCTGATTCCCAATCGCCCATAACTCCAGCACTGGGGGGATCAATTGCCTCTGATCTCCACGGTACTTGCACATGCATACACATCCACCCTAACCCCCACGAATAGACACACATGCATGCATATAATTTAAAATAACAAAAACAAACCGCACAATCCTTCATAAGAACAATTATTGCAATTTTTTTAAGACAGGCTCTCACTATGGCTGGCTCACCCTGGCTGGCTGGGAACTCACTGTGTAGACCAGGCTGGCATCAGACTCAGGAGATCTGCCTGTCTCTG